GTATTTTACTCATAAAGCGCCAAGCGAAATTATAAATACAAACTCTTTAGGATTGAATTAAGAATTTGAAAGTTGGAGAGGAAGCCAAATATAAGTAAATTGCCTATAAAAAAAAAAATATTTTTAAAACCGCAAAACTACTTTTATTTTAAAAGAGGAAAGTTAACAGGGACGCACTGATCGTCACTTGATTTGTCGCAAATTCTTTTACAGACACAATTCACATAAATAATTTTGCTGATATAATTAAATAGTTAAGAGTTAGAAATTAATATTTTCCCCTTTGATCTATACAGAATCTCAAGCATCCAAACTTGGTTAATCTTCTGGAAGTCTTCAGACGGAAGAGGAAATTACATTTGGTATTCGAATACTGTGAAAACACTCTTTTAAATGAGATGGAGAAATATCCTAGCGGTTGCCCAGATCTCACAACGAGACAAATTACTTGGCAAATTCTGCAAGGTGTCGCCTATTGCCACCGTCTTGGATGCGTTCACAGAGATGTAAAGCCAGAAAACATCCTCATCACTTCCGAAGGAATAGTAAAATTATGTGATTTTGGATTCGCGCGTATGCTGAGTCCTGGCGAGAATTATACGGAATATGTCGCAACTAGATGGTATAGAGCACCTGAATTGTTGGTAAATATTCGGATGCACAATTGTAACATTTTCGGATTTTATAAGAAAAATAATAACAGTTCTATTAATCCCGCATAGATAGCACGCTCAACAAAACTACAAGTTAACATCACGTCTAATAATTTTCGTCAAGTTTTAATTTATCTTGGTTTGCTACTGATATAATCAATGAATTTGATCAAATAACTTTTATCAACGTCTTATTTGTGATAATAAAGCATCGATCGTTTCTTCTTTCGTTGAAATTTTCATTCGTCATCTTCTTTTGTATTTTTTCAGAAACTACTGTTTAGTTATACTAAATTTTTTTGATATATAAAATAATATTATAAAAAATGGAAATTTATTTACAAAAATTTAGTTTATCTTTTTTAAAATTTTATGATTTAGCTTTGTTTAAATATATATATATATATATGTACGTTATTTAAGTATAGAAAATCTAGGTCTAAAACAAATAAGCTTTTATGCAAACATTTTCAATTTTTAATGTAAGCAAGATTAAAAAATTTTCATTCTTAATTAGATTATAATAGAATCGTGACGTTACTATGCGTTTTTCGGAGCAGGTTGGGGACACACAATACAGCACTCCGGTCGATGTATGGGCCATCGGTTGCGTATTTGCTGAATTAATACGGGGTGAAGCTTTGTGGCCGGGAAAATCCGATGTGGATCAACTATACTTAATAAGAAGAACGCTGGGTGATCTTTTACCGAGACACATGGCCATCTTTCAACAGAATGAATTCTTTAGCGGTATCACTCTTCCAACTCCGCAAACACTTATACCGCTTGAAGACGCTCTACCCCGTGGAAATGGCAGTACTTTACAAGTAATATCAACAAATTCGCTTTGATCTCAATTTAAAACACAGTACAATCGAACGAAAAAAGAAATATATTATAGAATATATTATATGTAATATATACTTTCGTACTTACCTCCATAATGTACAATGATTACTGTAGAAATAAATAAATCTCTTTTTTATAGTTGGATTTCCTGAAGAAATGTCTGGATAAGGATCCAAATGAAAGGTGGACGTGCGAACAATTGTTGCGGCATTCTTATTTTGATAATTTTCATTTTAAAATGCCAGATGTTGAGACGGAAGAGTTTGAAAAACTTAAAAAGTATCGAGAACGTTCTAGAGTAAGTTTATCTAATGGTTAAATAACAAGAGTAATCTAAGAATATAAATCAATAGATATATAATACGATTATATATATTATATTTCCAGAATACCAATTATAGTCAAATGGTGTTACCCCAACTACCTAAGGCTGGTCCTTCTGTTCATAGCCAAAGTGAAAATCGGCCGAAGAGCTCCTCAATACATCAGCAAAATTTTGACCATCTACCTACTATAAGAGGTTAATCAATTTCCTCTGTGATTGTATATATATTCCTAAGCTTATATATATTTTCCTAAGCTTTTTTGAAAATATTAACATTAATTTATAGAATTCTATAAAAATGAATGTTATTATCTTCTCTTTTTTTATTTGTATTAGCACATTCTTTTTTTATAGATTTTATTTAGATTTTTATTTATATATAGGAAAGAGTAGACGCGTGCAATTCATATGTATACCTCTTACAATAAAGTTTTGTATAAAATATATATAAGAAATATTTATTTTAATACATAATATTGTATCACTCAAATTTTAAGTATGTAATAAATTATTGCAAACTCTGAAGTTGCTTTACAATAGAGTAATATGTTGCTCTATTTTACAACAGAATATATGTGTTAAATTAGAACAATAAAAAGTAGTGTTTTTTTAAATAGGAAATTCCATCAAAATCAAATAAGAATAAGATAGAATTTATTTCAATATTCATTAGGATATTTCTTTCCCAGCAAACGAGAATGGATTAAAATGGATTGAAATTTTTTTCTATCCACAAATGTGTGTGTGTGTGCGTATTTTAAATAGCAAATACTTTTTTTTGATTTAATTGGATTCAATTAGATTCAATTGGATGTAATTGGATTAAAAAACTACATTTCCTATTCAAAATTTTTGAACAGTATTTACAATGCACAGAAAAAGCTAATATTATTTTTAGATTGAAAGGTATAGAGATATGCTCCATGCAATTTCTATAAATGAATAAAAATGCATTCAAGATTGAAAATCATTCATTTTAACATTCGTAAATCAATATTTCTGAAAATCTGAATCCATTTAAATTCATTTTAATCCATTCTCGTTTGCTCGTTTGGGTTAGTATATTTAATTTATTCATTTGCATTATTAAAAAATTTAGGAGAAAAAGACAAATATAGATGTGTGTGCAAATATAAAACAGATTTACTTCATTTATTAATATTTATAAGTTCAAATACTAAACATTTGTTAAATTATTTTATTAATAACAAGTTAAATATTCATAATAACGGAAACCTGGCCGTCTGTGATAAAATTTTTGAACGGGTTAGCAATTTTAAGTATTTAGGATCGATTTTAAACCAAACCAATGAAATAAGAGAAGAGCTCAAGAGAAGAATTAATTTGGGGAATGCGTGCTTCTATTCGGTTAAGAAACTACTCGGTTCGCGGATATTGTCTAGGCGCTTAAAAATTAGAATTTACAGAACGATTATTTTACCGGTAGTCCTTTATGGCAGCGAAGCGTGGTCACTTACGTTACAAGACGAGAAAAGATTTAGGGCTTTCGAAAATAAAGTACTTCGAAAAATCATCGGGGCAAAACGCGATGAGGAAACGGGCGAATGGAGAAAATTACACAACGCAGAATTACATCAATTATATAATAGTCCGGATATTAATGTCATAAAATCGCGTCGATTAAGATGGGCAGGTCACGCGGCGCGTATGGATGAGAATCGAATTGCATATAAAGTACTAATTGGTAAACCGGATGGGAAAAGACCATTGGGTAGACCAAGACGTAGATGGGAGGATAATATTAGAATGGATCTTAACGAAATGGGGTACGAGGGTCACAAATGGAGGGATCTTGCTCAGGGACGGGAACAGTGGCGGGATTTGGTGTTTGCGGCAATGAGCTTTCGAGTTCCTAACGCCTAATAATAATAATAATAATAATAATAACAAGTTAAAACTGATATATTGTACATTGTATTATCATGTACTAAATTTCTTATATAATATAACTATTGGATGATCGTGTCTTTCAGACACTGGAACATAACGCTGTTGTATGGCAAACCAACCTATATGAAGTCCTACAATTAATGGTAATATGACATAGAAAGAAGTCTTTCTTTCTATAAACTTTTTTATATTAGACTGCATTTTTCACCCTCTTTCTAAAATAGATATATCCTAATTTGATAGTAATCGTTAGTATTTGCGTTTCACCTCTCCTCTACAGCATTATTATATTACATTATATATCTGAAACACAAAAAAACCTCTCAAAATATTTGTTAGATATATACAAAATATCTGGATAAAACAGTATTATCTAAATAGTTGGCTAAAAAATAAAATTTTCGTTTAGTTATCAAAAATACATTCGTGATAAAACAATTTATCTGTAACAAAATGTAACTATCTGTAAATATGCAGAAATGTAATAAATTGAAGAAAAAATGGATAATAATTACGAAAAGAAAATGAGTGATAGTGATTAATATATCTTCAATATGAAATATTGATAGAGATATTGATAAATTTACGATGCAAATAATGGACTAACCTTATTAGTGTGTGATAAAAGCATTTATAGATCCATTAAATAAAGCGCAACTACTTTTAAATAATTCTCAGAACTTTCTAGTCAAGTCCTTTGAACAATTCAGTTTGAATTATTGATTACGTTTGTATATCTCATTTAATTATCACTATTATCGCTAAATATCGGATCAATTGGACTACAAGTCCTGACAAATCCTACTACAGATAGATAAATATATAGCGTATGATTCATTGAAAATAAAAATTTAACCTAGAGAGAAGCCTGAGCGCGGCCATGCCCGGGATTTAACTGTTACTTTATTTTGAAGCGCCTCTATGTTCACAGAATGTAAACATTAAACTACGTAGCCAATATTCATGATCCGGTCGGAAATGTTCACGATTTTTTGGTTGTATTCTTCGCTATGTCCACGAATTTCGGTCCGTTAGATAAACAAAATTAGATTATCTTGTAACAAAACTTATTATAAACGCCGACAGATTGATTATTTGTCTTTGTCTGTTTAACGAACCGAAATTCGTGGACATAGCGAAGAATACAACCAAAAAATCGTGAACATTACCGACCGGATCATGAATATGACTACGTAGTTCAATATTAACATTCTGTGAATATAGAGGCGCTTCAAAATAAAGTAACAGCTAAATCCCGGGCATGGCCGCTCTCGGGGTTTCTCTCTGATTCAACCAATTGGGGCAAAATAAAGCAAGATACTTGAGTATCTGATTGGTTAAATTTTAATGTTCAATCTTAGTCTTTATATTTGCAAAATATGTAGTGTGATATGGACTTTAGATTTAAAAGCGGGAAAATATTGAGAAAAGAAGAAGTGCCTAACCTCTTTGTGCGGTTCTTTTTTTCGATGATTTGATTTATACTATATAGTAAATTTGTGTCTTTAATGTAATTACTTAATTTCGTAGCATTAGTGTATGCTTTTTTTATTCACAATTGTATATTTACGTATTGTGCATAACGACAGTATGGCTGACAGTAAATGTATACAGATGATTCAAACAAATTTTTCATTATACGGCTTGGTATTATCAAGGTAAATATTCTATTTATTATAAATTTAAAAAATTAATAATAAAAGGATGAAAAGTTCTTTAACACGTTTACTCCAGAATGTAGCACCGATGATACATACACGACTGATAAATTACGGCCCTGTCGTGAACACGTTAAACAAATTATTAAAATGTAAATAAATTTTTAAAATAGTTTAAATCTTATTTCTATAATTTCTATATTTATGTGTTTTATATATTAATGTAATGTAATTAATATATAATTATAACTACTATATAATACTTTCTTAATACACATTTTCTATATTATTTTTATATGTAATTGCACATAACTCATAAAACAATAATTCATAATTGTTTATATTTTTTTAGAGAGCTTAGAGTATCTTTCGCAAAGCAATTGTTAAAAATACCACAAAATGAACGTGAATCTTGGCTTAATCGTATTATAGAACTGATTCTGGCTCAAAATTTGGATGATCCACACGTTGGAGCAGAACATATAAAAATTGCTATAGAAGAAGCCTTAGAGCCAAATAAATTGAAAGACACAGAAACAGTGTTCAATGTTATAGATGGATATAATATACCAAAGATAAAATACGACATTTCTAAAAAGAAATTTATCATTGACAATGAAAACTCATGCTCTGAAACACAATATAAATCATTGGTTTTTAAATATCGTTTTGAAATGGCATGGTATAAAACTTTAAGGCACAAACAATTTCTGTCATCTAAATTTGAAAAACAGCAAACACATAAAACAAATTTAATACCTATCGAATATCTGTTAAGTGAGCTAAGAACAGGGAATGTATGTATAATGGGTCTGATAACACAATTAATGGAAGATCAATATTATCTGGAAGATACAAGTGGAACTGTCAAGATTGACCTCAGCAATACAATATCCTTTATATATACTTAATTACTGCATTTTAAAGTATTTGGTTTTATTAAAAAAATATATTAATTTTCAAATGTATGGAAATATTTTTTATAGACAATGGAAAAACATTTAAACAATAAAAAAATATTTCCCAATTATTCCAAATACTATCAAACATCACATAAGTTTAGTATTCTCAATACTAATGAAATTGAAGATATACTTTTAATTAGTATTTTGTGTGATAAAAATAAATTAATGATTAAATGATTTACTTTATAATATGAAATTATGACCTTGAAATTATAATTATAATTAATCATTTCTTAATCATATTTTGAAAAATTAGAAAGATAGATTTCTAGATTCAATCCATATGAAATATTTTCATTCATTTGACCGGTTTTTTTTTAAGTTTGTACTATATACATATATATATCTCTCAATAAGAGGTATACTATCTTTAAAATATAACAATAGTAGTATTAAAATACAAAATTATTTTTCTTATTTTATATATAAGATTTTCAAGATACTTTTATCATGGAAGGCTTTATAGTAATAGCTAATGGTGTTTACAAGGATGATGTATTACATGTAAAAACTATTGACCTTCCGCCAATAGAATCGTCGGAAAGCTTGCGATCAGATTTTGGCGACACAAATACATTTGGTGGCTCACATAATATATCTCTAAAAATGTCAGAAAAATTACAAATCCACGAAGAAACTAACCAGGATGGAATGATAATATTCATAGCAGAATTATGGTTGGATGTTCCACATGTTTTACAAAAATTTAGGACAATACTGGATGGTTACATGGATTATCCTCCTATAGCTTTTGTATTGTGTGGTCATTTTTTAAGTTTCCCTACAAATATAACTAGTGCGAAAACTTTGATAACTGGTTTTAAAAATTTAGTTGACATAATAACACAATATACAAGTATAAAGGAATCTACGAAATTTGTTTTTGTACCTGGCCCACATGATTTAGGTTCTCCTAAAATTTTACCAAAACCTCCTTTACCCAAATGCATTATTGAAGAAGTTACAAAAATGATACCAAACGCTATTTTCACAACAAATCCATGTAGAATACAGTATTGTACAAAGGAAATTGTAATATTAAGAGAAGATATGTTGACAAAAATGTGTAGGAATACGCTTCGTTTTCCAAAAGAACACTTTTTTAAATATGTAAGTAAATGTTAAATTAAATATTACCAAATATATGTATATTTTGTGTATATTATATATATATATATATATAAATAAAATGATATCAATATTTATCACAAATTTCAGTTTGCCAAAGCCATCATCAGTCAATCACATCTGACTCCAGTGCCTCTTCAAGTTGTCCCAGTATATTGGAAATATGATCATGCTTTACAGATATTTCCAACACCAGATCTCATTGTGATTGCTGACAATTTTGAAACATATACGACTAACTATTCTGATTGTTATGTGATAAATCCTGGAATGTTCTCGAAAAACAATTTTTCGTTTCAATCTTATGTGCCTGCCATTAATCAAATTCAAGATTGTCAACTTCCAAACGACAGCAATGTTATTTAAATCAAGAAGGTAATTATATGAAAAACCATAGCAATTTCCTTTATAGACATTGTATAGAGTTACACTGAGTATTAATACATGAGTGATTCTTTTATAAGTCTGTATATTTATTTCGCATTGATAACAAAATCTTGTTTATTTTTACAATATTTCGAAAACGCACTGATAATAAGTCCTTAAATTATAATTTTCGTATATATAAACATCGAAACAAATTAAGCCCATAGGGCAAAAATAATTTAATTATGAAAAGGACTTCTAGATGATTTCTTACAATTAATCTTCTGTGTCCAATAATACAGTAGGAAATATTGAGACAATTTCAATTTTTAGGAATATATTTATAACTTCGTGAACAGGGGCGTGCTTAGTATATGCATTTATGTGCAATGTGTGCCAAAGCTAGAGGTAACTGAAGCACGCCTCTGATCATGAACATATCTTTTTCTAATTACCTGCTTTTCTTATATCTCTTACATTAAAGGGAATAACAGGAATATGTATCAAAATTGAATAGGACACAGATGGTACGCGCATGCTTACTTCTTCCCATTAATTCATATAAATAGAATACATAGAATATTAAACACAGTGTTTCTATCGTTTTGCAATATACATAACATTATACAGGTACAGACTGGGCCCCAATTTATTTCAATTTTGTTGCGCTGGAAGTATAAGTCAATTACTGGCCATAATAAATCAAATACGTTTTTAAGCGTAAAAAGTTGTTAATATCCAATCGTAATATTACAACATGATAATACTAACACCTTGTGTGAGCAATATAATTTTATCCTTTAGCAACTAGTTGCTTTGATGCTAAAAAATATAGCGCATACAGATATTACGGAAACAAATTTATTTAAAATCAAGGTAAATTAATAATGATTTCCTGGAAGAAATTTTTTGTATATTATATTCTATGGTTTCGCTTATAAAATATTTCAGATGCAACATGCTCTAAATATTGTTAATACTTTACATAACGGAAGTTAATGATCGACACAAATATAAGTTTTCTTCAAAACATTTAGGAAGCAAATTTGATATTTTAAATATCAGGTTAAAAAGTGAACATGTAGAATCTCAGAAATCGAAATAAAGGATTATGTGTGTATGTCTATTTGTGTATACGTACTCAGACACACACATATACACATACACACACACACATACGCACACATGAAAGCATAAATTGCAACTACACACATTAACTCATCACATATATTACAGTGCTATCTGTAAAAAAAAAGTACACTCTTACGTCTATTGCACTTCCTTGTAAACGCATTATTTTCGTAATTTTCTTCGTACGTTATTCAATTCCTCCTGCAAAAATTATCATAATACATAATAATACATAATATTTTATTTTAATACATATATTTTATGTACAAGTATAACTTCAGTCCAAACGGACGGCGTAATAATTCTTCATGTTCTGTATCTCACGAACCATTATTTTTCGTATGTAGATCTCCTAAAAGAAATTATGAGATATATTTATAAATAGTGTAATTCACAAAATAGAAAATGCAAAAGGTCACCTTGTGGTTTGATCGAAATTACAATTTTAATTTTTTATTAATGTGACTAAATAACATAGAATAAAGATGAAAAAGAAATATTTTATTCTAATTTTATTTAATGTTATAAAATATATTTTAATAAATTACGAATTAGCTTAGTTGTAATTAGTATTGACATTTTCTATAAGAATTGTTAGCTATATCGGGGGGACAAAACAAAAAAAGATAACCGATGCAATTGTTTACGCACTTTCTCTTTGATATCTTCGGCAAGCTTGATTTCTTTCTTCGGCGTCGAAATACCAAAGCGTAATGGCATATCTCGTTTTGAACGCTGGTTGCACCTCATGCGGATTTCGCCTGTCGGACCAGAAAAATAATATCCTGTCGAACAAAGGTTCTATGTTTGCTACTTGATCGCGCCATCCTTCAGGAAATATCCTCAAAAGTCCGCCATTCTCCTGCATACAATAAAAAATACGCAATTATAAATTTCTATCGTGATAAATTATTTTATTGGACTTGTAATTAACAATTAAAAATATATTAACACATATATAAAATTTCACCTTAACGTCCCAATCTCGATTAAGATAATAAATGGCTGTGATGCAACGTCCGTCTCGGTTAGGATTATCTACATGTTTTACATAATGTGAACCGTGACCAGGATAACAAGCTACCATCGCCTGGAATTTCGAAGAAAAATATATTTTATTAAAAGAGACGAATATATAATTGATAGATTATTATGAATTGTGACTAGATTTGTAAATTCTGAAAATATGTGATTATTTAAATATCTCGACGCAAGTCAATTTTCGCAAGAAAAAGTTTATTACTGATTTATATTATCAAATATATTATAAATGATGGGAAAGTATTAATTTATTCCGATGCGCAAGGAAAAAATGTATTTAATTTTTCACATTTGACATCATAATTTAATATTGCTGCAATGAGAGATCTGCAAAGATATTTACGCGCGTTATTTTTCCCTCTTTGATATAAATTTTTTTATATCAAATTTTACATCTTACTATAACGAATATTTATGTATAAAAAGATAACAAATGTTATATTTTCTAGAAATATGCAAGAATACTAAACAATTTAAAGTACAAACTGTGTAGTTGTATGTACATAGTTTATTTAAAAAGAAAGAACATATAGATAACGAGCAATAATTAACGAGCATTGTTGTATTTCAAAACAATTATGCTTAGATTATATGCATTTTAACGCAGCATAAATGTACAATTTAATGGAAGAGAGAAAACTATATGTATAATATACACTTTTAATACGTTTAACAATATGACGTTTATTATTTGTTCCATTGATGAGCGGGAATAATAGATAATAGTTGTTAATAGACAAAATATTTTATACTTTTTTTTATCTTGCCAAATTATATTGCCGATATATACTATTGTATTGTACACTTACAATACAACGCAATTATAAAATTAAAATAGTTGGCTGACTCAGTCCATACCGAAAGCATATTACCTTATGTACGTTTATGTTAGTCTTACATTTTCTGATAACAAAGTCTGCTATTGTTATAATAAGTGAAAAAGTCGCAAAAATTCTTACGTTAACTTTTCTAGTACTTCAGAAAAAAAAACAATGTACTTTTCTAAGTACACTTTCTTTAAAATACGATCTTTAGCTAATTTTAATTTTCAAGTATTATAGAAAGTACACTCGTATGTATATATGTTACACAAAAGACGTTCTAAATCTAATTACAATACACAAAATGTTTTACGTAATGCTTTCTACATTTAAAATATGTAAAGTGTTGTATTTGTATTAAATACAACATGTTCGAACGTCTTAACTTTCAAAGACATGGCCATTCATCAAAATGCCTTAGATTTTTCATCACACGTAACTAAACGTAAACATATTTCTTTGAAACTCCAATCATTAATTATCTTCATAATTTATATAATAAAGAATAAACGAAGTAAATATATACTAGGTTTTTTTTATTCGTCACTTGTTATTCGGATAAGGATATTTATGACTCGAAAATACGCATACATCCACAGATGGATTAACTGAGATTGTGTATTATTGTAAATATTTTCGCACGCGCATAACTTATGACACAGCTGTAAAAATGACAGTGTATAAAATAAAGTATTACAAAATAGTAAATGAAATGATCATCCAGGCTTTCTTTCTACCTTTTACTTCGAATTAAACGACATATGTGATACAGATGATATACAATGTCCTTGTCTTGTAATGAGTAATCGGATATCTAACTAAAAATAGATACTACTAAATCATACGAAAGGATAATGATAACGATCACAATTCAAATAATTATTAATTGATAATTTGATGAGCTGTAACACAATCGCGAACAATACGAGAAATCGTACGAATATCTTGAATCTGTTGATAAAACAAAAGATGATATTTGTAGAATTCAATAACAATTATATTCAATTGTTGTAACGCGCTATTATAAAAACGTGAAAATTTCATAACAGGATGTTCTACGTATCAACTGTATATTACATAATTATTCCTTTAGCGAAAGTTTTGATTTTTCTTTTATTTTGTATTGCATCTCAATTTTCATTACAAGACTTGCAAATTTTTTGTAAAGGCAAAAATATATAACTAATATATTTATAATAAGAAATTTCACTTTGTGTTTTATCTTCGCGTCTTCAACTACACATTTATTTCTTCCATTATTTACTACACATATTAAAAATCTGTATTCTATTATAATTAAATGACCGGATATATGAAAATATGTTATGCTATTACCATTTTTTTAACGTTAATAATACACAGACAAAAGCCTGAGCGGAAACGTATCTTTCGTTAAATATTTCCGTCTTCGTGGAAAGAAATGATTAGACGCCAATATGATTGAGCAGCTGAATAGTATAAAGCGAATTTGCTGTATCGCGTCATATCACCGGCGCAGCGTCGGCATGAGAAGAGAAAGAGGGCTAGAGGGTGGGAGTTGTGCGGCGTACGTGACTGACTGCACTTGGCGCGATCCCACTCTCCTCCTCCTTTCGGCATACAATACAATACTCCCTCGCAGATCTTTACATTTTTGGAGTTCTGACCTTGTCTATCGCATTCACCTCGCCGTGTTATTCGCACGAACGAAAATCGTGTACTTGGTCGTGCGTCTCGCATTAACACTTTCCATCGTGTAAACGATAACCGAATGCAAAACAAATCAGGAGAAAGATACATTTTGTAAACTTCTCACCATGTGGCTACTAAGCGAAGAACTATCTTATACTGCTGTTTAATTTTAATCGTATTATCGATTATAACGATAAAGAGTTAAGATTCATCTAAATTCTGCCTTAATAAAATCTCATGTTATACACACACACACACATATATATATATATTTGCAGTGTGTATTTGCAATATATTATTTAAAATAAATCATATTCTATTATTTAACATATAAAGAGATTAGACAGAGAAAAGTCATACTCACTTTCGTTCTTCCATTGATTGTATAATTTCCTATTTTCCCATTATTGTGCATTTTATTGGCTCTCATAATGATTGCATCGACCTGCGATATCAGTGTGCCAATATTTTCACATTGTTCTTCTTTTCCGTCCAGCCATATTATCTCATCGCCACGTATCGTTTTTAAGTCATTTGCACTACCTTTATTAGAAACCAATTGTCCGTCTTGAAATAATCCGGCACTATACATATTTAACACTTCATTTAACACTTTAAGACCCCTCTCCTTGCCTAAAAATTTGTCTACCACGCATACACCGTACTTGTCCATATCCCTTATCACATATTGACAAATTTTGTCTAGAAGTTCTTCGAGATTACTTCTATTCCTATGTAGAAAAGGGGGTGAAAAGTCTTCTTCCTGATCCTGTATCTCCGACAGGTTCTTCATACCGTTACGATGTTGAGCGGGTGAGCCAAGATCCGCGTTGCTCAAACTGTCGAAAATCCTGGAACTCTCTAAGATGGGATTTAGGAGCTCGGCTCGAGCTCCCAGTATAATGTCCTCTGAACTTCCCTCATACGTTATAGGCGACGTCCAGCCATCGGCTTTGTTATTTCTCGCGCTCCTTGCCTTTCCGCTATTCGATTTCTTCTTAAGATTCTGATTTCTTTTCCGTTCTTGTTGACTCGATTCGTTTTCTTCTTGCACACTCGCATCTGCAATCAGAACAAGTATATAAAAAAAACTGTCAGTTTGACATTAACGTTAAGACGATGTAATTATCTTATAATTAAGATACGATAAAACGCCCCTGTATCATCGGCTGCGAGTGCATTCTATCTAACGATAGAATGCAGAAACGCGCAATCAGTAGGGTTTGCTATTTATATCGCGAGTTATCGGCAACGAGACTCCTATTGTCATCAAATGTCATTAACGCGCAAAATCCTCCTACTGCGTAAGACTGCATAAAACTGTGTAAAATCTGACAATGAGTTTGACAACAATTTAACAATATAAAACCGCGCGCGCATACCTGCTGGATGCTTCACGTTCCGACACAACTCCGACGTGACGTTACTGACGTTCAAGCTCCGCGGTGCGGCCGAGGTCTTG